AAAATTTCCCACATATGCTGACTAAAATAAGGCAGATGTGAAACAGCACATGCTGTATACTTCCATTTACATGAAATTCTGAAGTTAGCATAAGTAGTTTATGGTTATAGAAATGAGAACAGTGCTTGTGTCTGAGTGACAGAGATTGATTGGGATAAGATAAGAGGGAAATTTCTTAGGTGAGGGAGATCTTGATAGGAATACATATTCAACAGTCAAGATTTGTGTCATCCATACATTTCCTTGTCTGAATTTGCCTTTTCTAATATAATTTTTTTTAGAAAAGGACAAACTGGCATTCAAAAAAAAAAAGTGTATTTTCAAAGCTGATCAAACTGTACATGCAAGGTCTTCGTACCTAACATATATAAATTATACCTTAGTAAATAACAAAAAATTAAATATAAGCAGTAGATGAATAAAAATGTGATATGGAAATTTGCAGACCAAACTAAATCAAGCCAACAATATAACATAAAGGAACAAATGAAGAAGAAAATAGAGCATGTGTAAATAAAAAGTATAAAATAGATAAGTCAAAATATATCAATAATAACAACTAATTCCTTTCAAAAGACAAAAGTTTCCAGATTAAGTGACATAAAATAAATCTGAAAAACAAGTGTTAAAATTCTAGTCATTAGGGCTTTGCTAAGAGGTACCCATAAAGCAATATGAAATCAAAAGTTTTATGGCTAAAGCATGGATAAACGTAACTAAGTAAAATGAATTCCTTATGGTACTATCAGGAAACAAACATTCCCAGTCAGACAAAAGACATTTGATGTGACAGTCTTATATATTGTTATAAAGGTACAACCTACCAGCATGTTATAGCTCATGAATCATTTAAAGCTAACATCTTAGCTTTAAAGGAAAAGAAAAACTGTTAGAAATTTAAGAAGTACCTCACAAAGGTATAATCCTAGTTGCATCATCCTTAAACAAAGTTCTGTCAAAAATTCGCTGTTGGGCTTCCCTGGTGGCGCAGTGGTTGAGAGTCCGCCTGCCGATGCAGGGGACACGGGTTCGTGCCCCGGTCCGGGAAGATCCCACATGCCGCGGAGCGGCTGGGCCCGTGAGCCATGGCCGCTGAGCCTGCGCGTCCGGAGCCTGTGCTTCGCAAAGGGAGAGGCCACAACAGGGAGAGGCCCAAAAAAAAAAAAAAAAAAAAAAAAAAAAAAATTCGCTGTTAATGGGGGCGAAATGTATCAATATGTGTGATCTGGCTAGTTCTGTTAATAATATTGGACATTAGAGATAGCCTCATCCACCAGAGGGCAGATAGCAGAATCGAGAAAAACTACAATCCTGCAGCCTGTGGAACAAAAACCACATTCACAGAAAGACAGACAGTATGAAAAGGCAGAGGGCTATGTACCAGATGAAGGAACAGATAAAACCCCAGAAAAACAACTAAATGAAGTGGAGATAGGCAACCTTCCAGAAAAAGAATTCAGAATAATGAGAGTGAAGATGATCCAGGACCTCGGAAGGAGAATGGAGGCAAAGATCAAGATGATGCAAGAAATGTTTAACAAAGACCTAGAAGAATTAAAGAACAAATAAACAGATACAATACAATAACTGAAATAAAAACTACACTAGAAGGAATCAATAGCAGAATAACTGAGGCAGAAGAACGGATAAGTTATAACCACTTTGGAAGGCAATATGGCCATATCTATCAAAATTTAAAGCATTTATATATTTTGTCCCAAAGGACTTTGCTTCTAGGAATATATTCAACAAAATCACTCACGTATGTGCACAAGAATATTTGAAATGAAAATGCTGTATAAGACATCACTGTAATATCAAAAAACTGGAAACAGTATAAAAAGAATCACAGTTAGGAGATTGGCTAAATTACGTTAAATCCATACCATGGAAAATGCTGAATTCATTGAAAAGATGTGCGTGTGCATGTATATATATGTAAACTTATAACTATGTGAGGTGATGAATAACAATTTATTGTGGTGATCATTTCACGATATATATGTATATCAAATAATTATGTTGTGCATCTTAAATTAATACAATGTTTATGTCAATTATATCTCAATAAAACTTGGGAAAATAAATACGTTATATATGTATTTATATATATACATAAAATGCTTCAGAATTTATAAATGAGCAGAAATAAGCAAGTGACAGTAGAATTATATATATTATAATATGATCCCACCACTCTGTGTGTATTTAAATGCCTAGAATAATGGAAAGATATACCCCGCAATGTGGACAAGGGTAACTTCTGAGGAAGAAAATGGGATTTGGTTGTTAAAAGGTGAGGAAGTTTATTAAATGGGACTTATACATGTTATTCAATATTTATCTATAGTTTGAGTATATTTATAGCCAAATATTCATTTATTAAATATTCTAATTTAATCTGTAAACTACCAGTCATCTAATTGTTAAGGACATCTTGACCCATGAGTTAAGTAAAGAAAAATAAAATTTTAATTCACTTAAAATGTGTTTTTTTTTAAGAACAAGATTCAGTATGATTACCATCCATGCTTAATAAAAACTCTGTCATTATGGAACACTTAACAATAGCTTAATATAATGCTCCTCTGGTGTGCACTCAAGAAAAAGTTGTTGAATGAATTAATAGGCTCTTAGTATTTAGAGACTACATGCACAACAACAACAGCAACAATATACACTGTTAGTAACTAGCATATAAAAAGAAATTTACAATATTTTTTTCTTTTTTAAAAAAAACATTTATTTGTTTTTATTTTTGGCTGCATTGAGTCTTAGCTGCAGCATGCGGGATCTGCGTTTGCAGCATGTAGGATCCTCCACTGGGGTGTGCAGGCTCCTCATTGCAGCGTGCAGTCTCCAGAGCACATGGGCTCTGTAGTTGCGGCATGTGGGCTCACTAGTTATGGCCCGTGTGCTCAGTAGTTGCGGTGTGCAGGCTTAGTTGTCCTGTGGCATGTGGGATCTTAGTTCCCTGATCAGGGATCGAACCTGTGTCCCCTGCACTGGAAGGCGAATTTTTAACCACCAGACCACCAGGGAAATCCCTACAATATTTTTTGTATGTATTTCCCATCTCCATGGATTTCCCAAAACTTGTGTGTTACAGGCTTTGGAACCAAATAGGAGATCAAAACAAATAAGAGATTTTTCTTGATGTGAACAGAAAAGTAAAATGGCCTAGTCCTGAGTTGAACAAATACAGGCAGGGTAAATTTAAGAAGCCGTGAAGTCTTTGATGTGTGTCATGCTTGATAATTTTTAATCAAAATCACAGTTTGGGAGCACTTCAGTCAATACATCATTTTCTGTTTTACATGTTTTAGTTTATTTCTCTCTTTGTTATAGATCTATCTCATCTATAAGTCTCTGAATATGTTCAGAGAGTCTACCTCAGGCATTGAATGGTATATTGGACTAGATCAGATGTTCCCAAATTTTTTTCAGTTATGGTGTTCTTAGTGTCCCAGTAATTTTTCCATGTCACCCCTGGACCAAAAGAAGTAACCTACAAATCCTTTTTTAAGTCACTAGGTCCAAAAAATTTAATAAATATTTATACCCTCACAACTTAATATCCATTTTTAAAAAATAATAAAAATCATTAGAAAAAATGTCAAAATTTTTATTCTTAAATAAGCACAATTAGTTATTCCTGGGATGTGTTGAGCACTGCACTTCTCAAACCTTGAAACCAGACTGGACACTGCCACCCTCTTCTCTTGTTTCACATAGGTTATACTGCAGTACTTCTTATCATCTCAACCCGGGAAACTCAACAGTTTCCAAAGGTATCTTGTCGCTCAAAGGAATTTAACATTATCTAAAGTTGAAACTGAAATGCCTTGAGCTAGTAATTCAAACTGCATCTGACAGTACTTGAAAGATAATGTGTTTACAATGAAAATTTTGAAGGTCCTCCCTACTAACCTTTTGATTTTGTGAATTTGCTGCAATAGACCAGGGCACACTGGCCCTCAACATGGGAACTACAGGACCTCATGATTTGCAGGGCTTTTCCAATGGTAAAATGCTATAATTCTATGTTGGGAGAAGATTCTTACATAAGAAGATGATATTCTGTCCCTAAAGCAAGCAGACTTAAAGACACCATAATGAAAAATATTGAAATGCAGCACATAGAAGAGTAAGCAATTTGAAGCCAGGCACCTAGGGATTTGTATCCTGCATCCACTACTTACTGTCTGGGGACCAGCCAGTCATTTGAATTCTCTAAGCCTCAGTTTCTTCAAGTGTAAAATTAAGATAATATTCTACATACCTCATTGCAGCATTGTGATGATTAAATGAGATAATGCATGTAAAGCTCTCAACCAAATGCCTCATGCCTTGTATATACTCAACAAATGTCAGTAAGTGTTAAAATGAGAATTTTTACCACTATTTGAGTCTGAAGAAATTTTTTTAAGATGATGAGTTTTTCATAAACAAATCAAGTAGCCTATAATGTCAAGTATATCACTAAATGTAATTAGGAGATGAAAAGATAAAGCTTTATGAACTAGCTTAAAAATATTGATCATTTTTCTGAGTACATTCTATCTTGTTTAAGAGCTTACCAACTTCTAAAAATTAAGTATGCGTAAATCTCTACTTATGTCATGAAAGTATAACCCCCAAACTATATTTATTCTGTTTTTCAGCTTGTCCAGAGAATTGAAAGATGGCGAGGTCCTCAGAAATTATAAACAGCATTAGTGACTTGTTTTTGATAATTTTTAAAATCCATATTACCAAATTAATTGCATGGTTTAATAATAAAAATTTATTTAATAATAAAATTCATATTTAATACAGCTTTTCATTCATCAATATAAAGGATAAAAGATAGAATCTCCTGAATCTTCTTTTTTTCCCCAGTTAAGCTTATTGCCAGTTTCTGAAGCTTTCCACCTTATGCCTGTCAAACAATTTTTTTCTCAATATGAGCAAAATAGATATTGAAAACTAAGGCAGAGTATTTTTATTCTTGCTTGTAGAAACTAATATGACTGAGGCTGGGGGAAGAAGGCAGACAGAACTAAAAGGAAGGACCTGCCCGAAAGGTAAGAGGTAGAAAGGACAGTATCATCAGATAGAGACTCAACACTGAGCTGTCAGTCAGTGCAGACCCTCCCTGTAATCTATTGTCTGTGTTCCACTCACTTTGCAGCAATCTTAGACTTTTTTACACCAACCTGGGTGTGGAAATGTCTTAGGTGGGGATGAAGGCATGAAAAGGAAAACTACTCTTGACCAAGGTAGAACTAAACAGAGCCAGTCAGGCATTTCTTTCAGCCTGAACAATGCTGAACACACTGCCAATGTTAAGATCTTCCTATAAGGTCATTGGTTTCAAGCAACATTACAAGTTCAAGGAAATTCTGAAAAATTCTTGAAAGCTAAAGCATTTTTTATCTTCCTTTCTGAAAGCAGAGAAGAACCTGGAGAGGCAGGGAATGAGGGAGGGAGAGAAAGGGAGAGAGAGAGAGAGAAAGAATCAAACTACACCAATATTACAGATACATATTCAGGGGTAAAAGAGAAAACTTGTTATACTGGCTTTTCTCATTTTTATCAGTTTGCAAATAATTTGTGGTAGTTGTGCTCTGGTTGAAGAGCTGAGAGTTTAAGAGTTTAAATAGTAACTTAAAAAAATCTTTCAGTCAAATCATAACTGCTAGATGAGTTTCAGATCTGACTGAAAGAGTAGTTATTAATTATGTTTGATTATCTTCGTGGCTGTGAGTTACATATTTACTACAGGCCTCAAGCACATGCTGTTCATTGAGCAGAACTGTTCCTGTGAACTCTGACTTCATAGGATCTAAAGGGAGACAACAAAGTGCTGGACCAGAGCCAGTCAGCAGCCCAGTAGCAGCTTCTGTTCATCCTGGTGGGGCAGAGACTGTGCAATTATAGTGAAGGGATCACCTCAAATAGAAGAGACAGAAGACACTTGTAGGTTTGAATGAAAGCAATCTTCACACTTAAACACAGGAAAGTGGAAAACAATAGTAATGGACCGGAATAAACTAATATTCTTGGCATGAGATCATTGGAATGAGAGCCCAGAAAAAGAAAACAACTGCACACCCAAAGGAAAAGCAACAGTATCCCAGGAGGAATCTAGCTCTTTCTAAAATCTTGAAGAATTTACATATTTTCTGTGCATTTTCCTCTACCTCTGCTTTCTGAATTGTCCTCTAAAGGGAGAATTTTTCCTTCCTTCTCTCCCCACTTCTAGCATGGGACAACACAGAAGCAAAAATAATGGCATGGCTCTGCATTTATCAAAGATGAGCAGGCATACCTGAAAAAAAGCAAAACTGAACACTTAGAAATCAAAAATACAGTCAGTGAAATTAAAGCTAAGTTTACAGAATAACACTTTAAGAAGAGAATTAATGAAGCCAGAAGATATAAGTTATGAAATCATATAACTGGTACACACAGGGACAAAGTGATGGAAAAGTACAAAAGAGAGATTAAGAGACATGGAAGATAGAATGAACTAGTCCAACATATATCTAATCAAAGTTCTGGAAAAATACTAGATTAAACAAAAGCAATATTTAAATGGATAATGGCTAAGAATTTCATGAGTACTAATGAACTCATTCTGAGGAACACCGACAAATCCCAAATAGAATACATTATCACATGTAGGTACAAAATTAGAAAAACTGCAGAGCACCAAATAAAATAGCAGATCTTTAGAAAAGCAGAGAGAAGAGATGGATTATGAACAAAGGAATGGTAATTAGATTAATATTTGACTTCTCAACAGGAGCCAGAAACCACTAGAATAACATCTTCAAAATGCTGAAAGCTTCTTTCAACCTAGCATCATATGCAGCAAAGATGTCTTTCAAAGAAAGCCAAATTAAAGACATTCTCATATAGTGAGCACTTTACTACAACAGATTCTCCCTGAAATAACATCTGAAGGGTAGCCTTCAAGAATGGAAAAGATGCTAGAGAAAAGGTCTTAGATGTATTTAAAAATGGGGCACAAAGGGAGGTAATTCGAGAGGGTTTCCAGGAAGCTTCAACAATCCCAGTAACATCCTATTTCATTATATTGTTACTTACTCTATAGTATAAATATATATGTTACATATATCCTTTTATGTACCAAGTGTTTCATAGTGTTAAAAATTGATGAAAAACCCCATATGGTCCCTCTAGGAAAAAGAAATATAGTAGCATAAGAGAAAGAGGAACATATTATCCTGAAAATCCTGGGAAATCAAATCTCTGGAAAAATGATTTATGAGAGGAAGCAAAAGAAACTTTTAGACAACTGTTTGGCTTCCGCAAAAAGATTCAAGTAGTTGTCTAGTTGTCGTCCCTAAGAAATATGGGTATCAGGTGTATGTAAGGAACAGGCTGAGGAGGAGATAACTGCATGCTGTGTGAAAATAAGAAGCTGGGAATAAAAGGGAGGTGCATGGAAAGATGACTAATCCAATAGAAATAACAGAACGGGCCCTGCTAAAACACTGCTGCAGAAAATTGCATCTGTGTGCAGAAGGAAAATCTCAAAGTTCTCTTAGAATAAGGGATAAAATAAGGGGAAGGAGGTGACGAAAGGCCAATAAACATGAAAAACAGAACAAGGATACAACTGAAAAAGTGTAGATAGTGCTGAGGACGAAAGCAGATAGTAGGAAAGCAGGCTTGTTGGGCTCCTCCTCTCCTAGGCCCTGGGCTAACAGGCATATGTCAGATCCCTTCCTGGATGCTAACATCTTAGTTTATCCTTATCTCCCCAATCACAGAAGAGGAGATTGGGCTTCAAAGAAGCTGCCTGCTAAAAATCACATGCTTGGAATTTGAACCTGGGTTTTTCTCATTCAAATGTTTGAATCGTTTATATTTTCCAGTATTATTAAGAAACTTAAAATTCAGGTTAACTTACTTTGAGAAGAGGCATTTTAAAATTCATAACAGATAAAATATCAGTGAGGCTAAAACATAGAGAACAGACCTGTGGTTGCCAAGGGGGAGGGGAGATGGGGGAGGGATGGAGTATGGAGTTTGGGATTAGCAGATGCAAACTATTATAAATAGAATGGAAAAACAACAAGGTCCCTCTGTGTAGCACAGGGAACTATATTCAATATCCTGTGATAAACCATAATGGAAAAGAATATAAAAAAATAATGTCTATATAACTGAATCACTTTGCTGTACAGCAGAAATTAACACAACATTGTAAATCAATTATACTTCAGTAAAAAAATCAGTGAGCTAAAATAGTATTAAAACTTTATATTCCAAATAATACAGCATAGAAAAATTAAATATACATGAATACAAATATATCCTACAGATCAAAGGAGAAAATGAGTAAGGACACCAATATAATCTGAGTGTGAATGCGTATCTCTAAAATCAAATCAACAGCTATTGAATTCATCAGAATTGCAAAAGAATAAAAGCCACATGCATAGTTTAATCTTAGAATATATATAACACGTTATTTAAATATGTCAAAGGAGAAAATGCATTGTAACATATCATTTATATAAACCACAGAAATTCAATTACAGGGTAATCTCAGTTGTACCCTAAAGGCATTTAACAACCTTAAAAAGTCTAATAAAATGATTTATTAAATGAGAATGTACTTACTTCTTTTATATATGAATATTTTTCTAACTAACCAACAGCCTAATTACATTTAAGGTTAAAATGCTAAAATCGTTCCAATAAAATCAAGAAGCAAGGTGCCCAGATCTATTTTAAATTATTCTGTAATTGTAGCCAGTTCAATAAGTATTAAGTGTTAAGAAGTACATTTTTGGAAAGCGTACAGATTTATGATTATATACCGATGGTAGGATTACTAATTGCACAAAAAGAAAAAACACTTCTCCCTTCTAATTCAACTAATTGGAATGTTTTGTATTTCTTAATATTTGCATGGTGCAGGGAAATGGGCCGTCATAGGCCATGTGTGCTCATGGGGAGGGACATTTCTGAAAAAAAATTAGTAATTTAAACTAAGAGACTTGTGATTGTTAACTACTAGAATTTTATCCTAAAAATAGCTAGATATGTGCAAAATATGTATCTTTAAAGATGATTACGATGTTAATAGTCTAGTATTGCAAAATTGTAATATTTCTAATTGTCCAACTAAAGAAGAATGTTTAATTTAAATGGTCAACTATACATTCATTAAATTTGGATTCTGAAAGATGACAAATGGCATAGAATGTTAACATGTTAGCTGCAAAATGTATATATTATTTTTATATTCTGAAAAATATAATTTGGAAATAAAAATTTAAAAGACCCTCTATATACATTGTGATCACTACAGAAGAAAAGACTGGTGCTAAACTTAACATTTATTAGCTTTTTCTTTTTTGACCACCCCACGCAGCTTTCAGGATCCCCAACCAGGGATTGAACCCGTGCCCCCTGCCGTGGAGGGTCCAGTCTTAACCACTGGACCACCAGGGAAGTCCCATTTACTAGCTTTCAATGCTAAGATTACAGGTGATTTTTATGTCCTTCTTTAAGTATTATGTATGTATGTATTATGTATTTCTGTATTCAGTTCAAACAGGAGATAGGATTGGGGTGGAGAGAGGAGAGAGAGAGAGAGAGAAACAGAGAAATGGGGAGGGGAGGGGAAGGGAGGAGAGGAGAGAGAGAAGAATGAATCACTTCCCAGACCAGAACTATACTTGATTAAAATCATACCATCAGAAAGGAATAAAGGGTGAACGAGGGAAGGTTGCTGGGTGACAGAAGCAGAGAGAAGGGAGGACCTGTTGGTGCTGTGTGTTCATGCACTCTCCAGGGAAAAGTGTCTTTCTTGATAAGATAGCATGGTTATTTGATTGAGCTATTGAGAAGCAGGGCACGTGATATTATATGATCCTAAGATCCAAAAGCTATTAAACATCAAATTATATAACAAAAGCCTGGGCCGTATTAAATTTCCTGAATTTAGTATGGTGGGCCTCCTGACAACTAAACAGCTGGCCTCTCCTAGGGACAGCCTGACCTCAACTTGTTGATGCCAGTGAAAACTTTATCATGTAAA